ATTATTTAGTCACATTTTGTTCCCGCAGAAAAATCACTCGCAAGTCGCCGGATTCCGAACGGTCAGGCCCGATGAGCATTAGTTCAACGATCGTTCCGCGAGCAAGCCTCGATTTATGCGCTCACCACCTACATAATTTATATCGGTTTGATATAGTAACAGTTTGAAGACAGGAGAACTTAGTGGCTGAAGGTACTCCTTAGGATCGTGAACGGACTGGCCCGCTTTCGTTTCGCCACAAGTGAATAAATTGAATTAAATACGCCACAGTAGAACGGTGAAGGTCATTTTCATACTGTTATGTTGGTATTATCCTAATAGCAAATAATTCTATCGATACATATTGCATATTTGCCGACAAAACGTTACGAAACGAATCCGTTTCTTCTTAATACCATATTTATTACACTCACTTCTACATAATTAATATATAATAATAATATACTATATAATTACTATACAAAAAATTCCAGAGGATAAAGTTGTACTATCTCAAGGGGCTAATCCATTGATGGAGAGAATTTTTTTCTCAAGAAATTTCAATTTTTATAATAAAATAATACTTCTTTATGAATGAATCGACATTTGTCGAACAATTATTTAATCTCATTAACTGTTTAAAGCTCAGAACGACACCCTTAGATACTGTTGCTTTTCACTGTGTATAATTAGAATAAAATTCTGCCAAACTCTGATTTCAAGGTCACCGGTTTTTAATGGAACCATATATTTTTTTGTTTATATTCTTATAAAGGGTGAAATTACAAATTGAACCACTTGAAAAGTGTACCGTTTAAAAAATATATTTATCCATTTAAACAAAAAACGGTGATCTTGAAATCTTGTGAAAAAAGTGACCTTGAGAAAAAATATTTTCCATCAATGGATTGGCTCTTTGAGACAGTGCCACTTTATCCTCTGGAAGTTTTTCATACGACTAATAATAACGTAGATATTTAGATATTCCCATTTATGACTATTTTATTATGACTTTTTAGTCGTATTTTTAACCCGTAGGTATATAGCTGTCAACACGGAAAAATACAGCAAACGCATACTTGTGCGACTAACAGTACGGTTTAACCCATACGTAGGCAACCAAAATTTTCACGGTTATTGAGGAATCAAAATACTCCTATTCTGCCAGATTAGATAAACATAGACAATTTTACTTCCATATTTTTCCGAAACTCTTAGTTTTCCTTTCCGATGATATACCAAGTGCTGTTTTAGACAAGAACACAAAGAAATTGTGTCAGGAAATGTAGAAATGGGTACCCGGTTGCCTACACAAGGATCAAGACAACCATGTTTTAACCCTTAACACATGGGTCACAGTTACCTCAAAAAGTTAAAAAAAACTCAAAAATTACCAAAAAGTTCACGCACTACTTTATTCGGTTGTAGGAAGTAAACTGATCTGTTGCGGGGAATATCTAGGATCTGGTCGTAAAGGGGGTTCCAAAAACTACTATAATAACACATGGCCCAGTTAAAGTTATGGTTCTCTGTTACGTCCCGGGGACCATGTATCCTGGTTGACGCAATTTTTGGGTCCTTGCTCTTACTCCCGCCCTAAGGCATCAGAGTATGTGGTGCAGGCCGGGGAAATAAAGGAAAGGAACGGATAGGAGGACGAAAAAGAGAGGTGGCGTTTCGTGTCGATGCCACCAGCCAGACTCATCATTAGGCCTACAGCTGGTGGGACCTGCTCTAGACACACGGGACGGAGGATGATTTTTGGAACTTGTATTTATATGAACGGATTTAGGAACGAGTACTTGTGAGAAACGCGGCGCGACGAAGACCTCTGCCGGGTGCTTCCCGCACTTACCGGCCTGCCGAGTGCCATCCACACTTACCGACGAACCACGCGTCGAGTGACGTCACATCTCAAATAACTACTTATAGAGAATTTAGCCTCAAGTTGCCTTGGGATCAAACAGACCCCATGTGACCGTTGAGGGTTAAGATACTTTTCCGAAAACTTCAAAACCGATACAACTGTCCGTGGAACTTTTTACATTTCGTATAATATATTCGTGCAATATTTTATGGGGGGGCTACACAAAAGTTAACCAGAATAAAAGGAACTGCGCGCCGTTAACACAGTCGTTTATTGTCCCAGCCGTTGTCGCGGTATCGTACGTAGCGCAGGTAACCCAATATTTCCGTGTAATTTAAACTATGCCTTGTCTGTACGGTGCGTTGTACGATCAAGGAGCGATTTCTCACCGCGGGGTTATTGTTTCCTTCGTAGAGTTTTGCTCGGTAGCTTTTTGTTTAGAAAAATCTCAAATATAGTGGTTGTGCTCGAAGTGTTTCCGCTTGGATGATATTATGTTTCGCCGACTTGTGACCGATATAAACTGTTAACCCTTAAGTAGGCGTCTGGCAAAATTACAAGTGAGCTCATGGGGTCCGCAGTAGGCTCAAACCTCTTTTTACAATGGAAGTAAACCAAGATGTATTAACAAATAAAAACGAATCGGTTTTTCAAAATAATTTTTAATACGTACTTACTATCTGGAAGCTATAGATGCTCGAACTGATGACCCTCAACTTCAATACAGTCATTATTTTGTAAATATCTCGTTAACTGTTAATTTTAGGACGTATGAAGGTCAACGAATTTTTATTCAGAATTTGATACTCCATCGATCAATGGTACAAAAAGTAGGTCGTTCCGTTAAAAAAAATCAAGATGACCACAAACAGGGCCGTTCTTGGCGGGGGTGCAAAAGGTGGCCCTGCGCGGCCAAATCTAGGGGCGGCTGCAGATCGTTTATCAAATGCACAATTTTGGCTAATAAGAATACCAATCAAAACGTTTCTGATGATTATGAAAATTTTAGAGAAACAGAATTCAATCAAATTGATTTTATATGTAAGATTTCTAACACTACTTGTATACAAGAATGAACTATCTTTATGGACAGCCCAAAATGGCATAAGATATTTGGGCGCATTTATATGGATTAAATTCTTGTAGGTCTGGGTTAGTAATGGTCGCTACATATTTATCAACCATTACATCATTATTACAACCATTATAGTTTTGTATTTATATGTGGAATAAAATATTCATTTTAAACGGAACCATGTATTCAAAAGAAAATTCAGAAATATTCATTTTGTATTATAAATGTTGAAAAAGTATGTACATGTATATATATAGATATAAAAGTAAACACTGCATATCAATATTCTTAATTAAGTAATATTAAATTAATAAGGGCAGTCATACTTTTTTTGCACCCGGGTGACCAACAACCTAGGAACGGCCCTGCTCACAAAAGCACACGCAGCTGAATGCGTGCCTCTAAATGCAAGTGCAATGACCTACGCCCGCTACGTCTGTCCTGCGTAGGCTCCCTTTTCCACCCCCTTCCCCTATCGTGTTTCTCCTATTTTGCCCTCCGTTGAGTTCGTCTCTGGCTCCCCGAATTCGGGCGTTTCGTTTCCGTCGGTCGGTGATTTCATTGCGACGAAAAGCACCCACCAGGCCGCCCTTTTCGCACGTTAAGGTGGTTCGTGCCAAATTCGAAAGACTAAATAATTAAATAACATTCATACAGATTGTTTATTCGAACGAAATACACGAAAATGTGGAACTCGACCGGCAGACTCGTGCTCTGTATGGTCGGAGCTTTTCGTTAATATCTCGTTAACAAAGCCTCGAATAACATTTTTGCTAAGGAAAAACTTGTTTCAAATCACCTCACTAGTCTCCCATTTCCAGGTCCTCCAACATTTTTGTTACACCCCGTATATGAAATAACCTAATATTCGTATACATTCGTGGGAGAAACAAAATTCCCTGCTCCTTCTGATTCCCCATAAACTGATAATTAAAATGAAAATTACGAGTGAAGAAGAAGCCACTGTTATTCCCTATTGTTCCGCGTGGCATTATGTTTCCACTGTTGCACGTGTAACATTACATCAGGCGGCAGACCGGCAATGTAATAATTACAATTACGTAATTTCGCGTCGAGGCGCTCCAGGCCGTATGAATCACTGTTATCGTAACCGATTCATGTACCGTAAATAGCTATTGCTCTGCAAATTGAAGGAAGAAAAAAAATAATCCATGAACGAGCCTGACACGCGTTATCTCACATTAAACCGATAATCCGAATATTACTTCGAAATTGTTTTTATATAGGATACTAAGTGATAGAATGTCACCTTCGAGGCAAATGATTAATATATAGGGTGATGCACGCAATTCGGCCAAGTTATCTCTCTATTTTTTTACATGAAACTCGCGATAAGTTAAATGCGTAGTCCTTTCATTCTTAAATTCTTTAAAAATTAACAAAGAAATATTTTGTTGTAGTTTTGTGTATATTAGATGACATACAAATGATATTCACAAGAATATTTTAACATTTTGAAACCGTCTCATGCCATTTTTATTTACAGACACATTTAATGACGATATAGTCATTCATATTTGTGAATATTGCGAATAGAATCACCATTTATTCTATAATACAATACAGTGGACTCTAACTATATTGCCACGCGAGCCACTCCCCCTTCACATGTGTCGTCGAGCACACAAATTCGCTCTCCCACCACGTTGTGTACGCCTGCGCACCAGCACGACCCAGCTTTTGCGCAGGTGCCGAGGCCATGAAGATAGAACTTAGCATGGAGTGGGCTCTGAACTCATTACAATTTCACTCCCCTAGAGCAGGTGTCGGCAAACTTTCTTTGCAAAGGGCCAAATAGTAAAAATTTTAGCCACTAAGAGCGTTACAGCTGAGCAGCCGTTATAGCGCGTACTTTAAAATTTTTTTAAATTTGAAATTATAAAATCTAGACCCGTAGTTTGCCGACCCCTGCCCTAAAGCCCCGACCATGGCAATATAATTAGAGTCCACTATAAGTACAGGGAGTTATTCAACTAGCCCCGGTCTCCCCTACCGAATACCTTTTATTCGACAATTTCGAATTTGATCCGTAACAAAGAGGATATGTTCTTCTTCCAGACGGATTGAAACGTGCTCATCACATCCTGCTGGAGTGGGCGAAGTACGCAGGCTCGAAGGACAACATCACCTTGATCGTGATTCTGTTAAACCCAGCCGCTAAGATCGCAGCCAGGCCCCCGAGGGCCCATCCGTCCTATCGCATGCAAGTGGAGGATATACTCGAGAAAATGAACTCGAAGGACAAACCGCTGTACCTGGACATCGACGACGCGCACAACGCGATCAACTCGAACATACTGAAGCAAACGATGCTCCCGCAGGAAACAAGGGATCAGGGTGACGCAGGAATTCTTGCGGCCAGCAACGGGAAACACGAAAACGGCGATGCAGAATACGATTACTCGGATTTGGGGCCTGAGACCGACGTCGACGCGATCGACGACGTCGCCACGATGCCTGTGAAGAATCTGTCCTACGAATTTTACAAAGACGACTATTCGAAGCCGGACGAAGACCGCAGGGACACGAATTTACTGGACAACGTGGTTGTAAACGTGCCGGAAGTGAACGCGAAACACCAACCGGACGCGGAGAATAATTTACGCGAGGATGACGACGACGACGACGACGACGACGACGACGACGACGACGATGACGATGACGATGACGACGATGATGAGGAGAACGAAGTTCTCGATAAGTTTGCGGTGCCACAAATAGTCCAGCAGATAGCGCCGGAACAGATTCGCGAGGATAATTTTGGAATAATGAACGAACCAGTTCGCGAACGGATCGAAGACAGTGTGGATGACGAGGAGGAGATACTGATAAAGAATGAAGATCGTGTCGATGACGAGCGTGACGTCGTCGATGATGCTCGACCTGTAGACTACGATGACTCGCCGCCCTCGCCGCAGGCTAACAGTAAGTGTGAACCTAAAGTTAAGCAACGATTCTACAAAGGTGTCATCCCGTATTGGATCGCCAGGTGCGCAATCCTGATTGGAAAGGTGGTTCTATTCGGTTTCGTGTCGGTCTACGATTTCTCTAGGTACTGAAGTTCGTTGGCTTGTATTATGTTTGAAATTGAGGCGGTTTTTAGGTTAAACAACACGTAAAATGATGAAACAAAGTTAAGCTGCGTCTACACTATATAGGAAAACAGTGTTATACAACAAATTGTTATATAACCTTGCTATACAACATGTTTTTATAACTTGTTACAAGACTGTACCTTTCAGACAAATCTGTAACAAGTGTGTACAACATTTCGCGTCTCATTATTAATAACTTTTTTTTGTATTTTCCTTTATTAAATGTTCCTAATTGTACACTTACAATTACATTTTTTTTATGCTAGTATTTTCAATTGATCGACTCATTAGTCAATAATCTCTATGGTAAATCAATATTAGTTGGAATTATACTATAATGGAGGAAATGAAGAAGAAAAATAAAGAGAAAAAAGAAGAATTATTAATAATGGTGTCACACTAGATGGATAACATGTAACTTGCTATATGACACGAAAACTGTTATGTAACATCTCACGTTACATAACATTTTTCTTTCTTTTTTTCTAACAAGTTTTATAACTTTGCTGTGTAACATGTTATGCTATATAGTGTAAACGCAGCGTTACATTACAAACTTAAAGACGCGTCTCCACCGGTGTTCTCGAACAGTTCGTCAGGAGTTCGCGTCTGGAGCGGTAAAATCAGAGGAAAAATTATATATATTCTATATACTCAGATGCTCCGAAGCTTCAAGGTGAAATACAAGGACAGAAATAATAAGCGGAAATGCAAAGTTCCGTATTTCTCATTAGATTTTCACGAAAATGACGCCAATCGATTCCTTATGTTTTTGTCGGTGAAAATGACGCCAAAAATAACACAATTCGGATAACCATAATTTGAAGCTAACTTCGTTAAAACTCGTCCGATTTACGTGATATTTGATATAATTTTAATCGGGAGAACGCCAAGAATTCATAGGTCTGGGTAAGGTACTTCCATATCGAGATGGGGTCATTCCACTCGAACTCGGATACCTTTTGGAGTAACATTTCGGATTTTGTTCATATTTGGATATTTTTCTAAACTGTTTTAAAAAAAGACGAACATTTGTTTAAATTGTTGATTTTGCAGCTGTTTGAAATATAGTCAACCTTTTTTCAATAAATTATAACTGTTGAACTAACAAACTGATCAAAGTGAGCTTCGTGAAATTATTAATTTTGAAAAATTGTTTCAGTTGAAAAAAAATATTTTCTAACTATTTATTTTGCAATTATTTTAAAGAATGTATAAATTTTGGAAAACACGTGCATTTCAAAATGGCCTTATGAAAAGTAACTGACATTACTTGTTTCGCATGGCTCGGCCTGTCGAGTCAGTGTATTTCGACGCAGCGTTAATTTCAATTAATTTTCACATAGCCAATTATGAAGTGTCTATATTTCTTAAAATTTTGCTGATAAAGAGGACCAATAGAATTATATCTTAATTTTTTCAAATTTTCCAATAGTGCCTCACTATAGTAAAATTGAATTTCTTTAGAGCAATTGCAAAATAAATGGTGAAAACATTTCTTTGTCCACTGAAACAATTTTTTAAAATTAATAATTTCACATAGGTCATTTTGTTTAATTTGTTGTTAGTTCAATAGTTATCGTTTATTGAAATAGGTTGACACTATATGTGTATGTACACCCAGTATGTGTACCATTCAAAGTTGTTGTTTGATTATAATTCTTCGTACGAGGGCAACGAGAAGCAGAACATCGGAGATTTGTTGTTCCTCTCTGATTTTTAATGGTAGAGACACAATGAGTCACGTACGCGTTACTATTCCACAATGGTCTGAAAACGCGTTTTTACTGACTAAAAGTCAATCATTGAAACTTCTTAAAAGTTGGTTACCAAGGGTTTTTCAGGTCACTGATAACGAATTCGACACGAAAATTCAAAATTCAAGATGGCGGATTCTAAAGACACATATCGACCTTTTGCAACGCAATATATTATAGTTATTCAGTGTAACTAATATAAATATATTATTTATTTTATAATTACAATTATTTCATTATATATAATTATATTATTATATAATTATATTTCTGACGTTGATTCCAAATTCTTGCTTGTATCTACATGGATTACAAAACGCTTAAAAAACAAGTACGTGATCGAAATATAGTTACTGATATGCATAAAACTATAATTCAAATCTTTCATTTACTGTCGTCTAATTAGTAATTAGAATAATTAGTTTCACTTTGAATTTCGACATTTTGCGTTCAGAACGTTACCCTCGGATTACACAATTATCTGAATAGCATACTACTTTGGGTTTTGAAGGTTTGAAGTATTGTTACTTTATACCAACAAAAATTTTCAAAATGTTGAACCTCAAACATTGATTTTTGGCCAGTAAAAACGCGTTTTCAGACCACTGTGCATTCGTGCAAGCGGACTAGCCTGCTACGGGAGCAACAGAGAAAAAAGAAGATGAAAAAATCATTCGATAGAGTTCGTATCATCTACAAAAATAATTTTGTTAAATACGCGTTCTTTTTCCATCTGCATTTTTATGCAGATGGAATATATAAAATTAACACCCTTTTTGCACTATTTAGTTTAAGTACGCACCAATCATAGTATATTTTTATTTCATGGCTACCGTTTAGACATCTGCTTTTAGCAGTGTAGCGTATATGCCACTGAGTAAGAATTTCTTCTTTATCAATGCAATTATGAATGAGAAAGGAGGCTCTTCTTTTAGTCAATATTTTTAATAACAATAAAACTTTTTTAATAAATATTTAGAATATGGGAGGGGAAGCTCCGATGACCTTGACCTTGACATATGTTGTCTAGGTCAACCTCCTCAGTGACCTTCAGAAGGTTCTAGCCATCGCTCGGTTTTTAAAATAAAAAGTTATAAACAAAAGACGTTTTCGAAATGTAGCAGTTATTCTGTATATTTAAGGGCTCCAATGACCTTGACCTTGACATATGTTATAAACGTCACCTTCCTGAGTGATCTTGAGAAAATTTTAGCAGTCAAACTTTATTTGTTAAAAATTTGAAAAAAATTAAATTTCACAATACAAAGGTGTATGATTAACTTTTTAATACAAAAACGAGCGACGGCTAAAAATGTCGAAATTCAAACATTAAAATGAACTGTCTGACGGGACGGCTGAGCTTAAAAAAATGTCGCCACAATAGCACTGCACGGAGCGCCACCGGTCGAATACGCCAACAGCGAAAAATTGAAAAAAAAAAGTGTTGTTATTATCCTAAAGGGTGTGTTAATAAAAGCCAACAAACTTTTTCACGACACGTTAAACTCTTCTTTTAAAAAATTCATAAATATCTCGTATTTTTTGTACGTTTTGACTCTTAATAATTGGAAAGTATTGATCGCTTCTTCGAGGTGAGCACCAGAGATCGTTACCGCCCATAACGAACAGTATCGAAACATAATAAAATCCGGGAACAAAGGAGTTCCCGGGATTCGTGAAAGAAGATGGTAGATCAGGGGAGAACAGAAATCCACGAATTAAAGCCGTATCTTGTATCTCGTATTTCGCGGTGAAGGGAACCAGTTAATTTTCTGATAACGCTGTAACTCCTGTGGTATTACCGTGTTTCTTCGCGCCAAAGAAGTCGTGATCCCGGCGATTCGAAGGAACCGGTTAGAAAGAAGAACCCGATACGGTTGAATATTTTCGACCAGTCTTGTACGAAACTGCGCTCCTTTGTACCGTGGTCAAGAAGAAATTGAACAAACACGACTTTCCATTTCACGGTAGATCGCTGAAATATTATGATATCGGGGTTACTTCTTATTGTTGTGCTCTATAATTTCAATGAACGCAACGTAAGCGTAAGAAACGCAAAGAAAGAAGTAAAAAATTATTATTTAACTTATTGTAATGTGATATAGAGTAGATTGTAGTGAAAAAAACATTTTTACGTTATTCTGCATGCCCATTAACCCTCCGAAATCAGGCCCCTCTTCAGCATACATAAATATCACACTGGTATGGATTAGGATTCTGAATTTTGTGGTGATTAAGAACTTGGAGAGAATAAAAGCAAGTTGAATTCATAACCGAATTCATTTTTTACCGTAAAATCTCCTTAGAGATTCAATGGTAATAAGTGCAAAAGTCAGAAATAATTTTTAACTATGAAAATTTGGAAAAAAGGAATGATAAGCTTTAAAACGAACAGACGAAACAATGTTCCACTGGTGCAACTTCGCGCTAGGTGTGGTGTCTGTGGGTTAAAATAATACGGGAGAAATACTAATATCGATAAAAAAATAGTTTAATCATTTATCTAGTAGAACGTGTCCTGTTATTGTAAAAAGGAATAAGAGAAAAGTAGCGTTGATTTGCGTTGAATAAGTAAATTTATATGTTAAATATTAGTTTGGCCAAAAAATAATATCAGCTTTTTTTAGTAATGATGTTTTTTTTTAGTACGTTCCCGTAAAACAGCAGTGTAGAGCGTGACTGATTTTTTTTTTTAATTTTCACGTTCTTCTTCTGTCCCCCACACACGTGGAGTACCGGAAATAGCTTCTGTTCTCCTGCAGTACCGACTGTCTCGGCGCATTTAGCCACCGCGAAGCTTTTCACCCTGTGCTTTGAATTATCTGCGCAGAAATGTTCGTGGGGTGACGAAATTACATACGTTCCAAGCGAGAATTTATTATTATTGGAGCCTTTATTTCCATCTTTCTGAGGTTTTACTTGGTAGAGACAGCGTAGATTATTTAGAGGACGATAATAGGCTTTCTGAATTTGTATCAATAAAAAAATTATGTGAAAAGAGTTCATTTGAGTAAGTTCAAGGTTTGTGCTCGAATGATAATGTATCGTCTAATTTTTGCGGACGTTACGTCAC